CTACTCCACAGGGTTCATTGGCACTGAAAATCTACTCAAATTTCCTTTTACATTCTAGCCTGTGAATTAATTTGAGGAAGCATCAGAGAGTTTGAGTGACCTGCTCAGAGTCACACAGTTACTCTAAGTCGTAGCGCCAGGATCTGAACCTTAATACCAGCGTTCTTTCCTCTAAGGTTGTGGGAGAACCAATGGGATGAGCCAGTGGGATAAATATTTGGAGATGGTCTTTTTAATGGATATGGCAAATTGTCTGCAGCTACTTCTTTTACCAACAGTGATTTATACAGCACAAGTTAGATAAGTTTGGTGGTGCTATGTGTAATCCAAATAAAATAAATGTATTTGCTAATATTCCTTTTTATCCCTTTTAGGTTTGAAGATGTCTCTTTTGGATTGGACTAATTCCAAATTCTGTTTTCTTGCTTTTTAATACTAATATACTTTCAGGCTTTATGTGCATAAATCAGACATTATACTGATGTTATCACAAATACCACTTTATGTCTCCATGTTTGACTTGTCTGCTGGAGCTGTATTGGGGGCGCTGGTAGCTTAGAGGTGCAGAGGAGGAAATTCCATGTATAACATCAACATCTGCATCAAATCTGAACTCTTCTGTCTCTTCTGCACACAAAACTGGATAATAAGATAGTTATGCATGTTTAGAGGAAACCTTCAATTTATAATTGTGCTTAGAATTTTGGGAAAATTTTTAAAGATATTTATCAGAATTATGGAAATTTGTGATAGTGGGTGAAACATTCTGCCATATAAAATTCATATTTACCTCTTACATGTGTCAGAGTGCAATATGGTTGTGCCTATGTTGATTATATTTTTGTTTCACTAAAAAAAAAATGGTAAAACACGTTCAGCTTCTCAGAGGAACAATAGCTAACTTCTCAATGTCAGTGGGATCCAGAACACAGTAGAAAGTGATCATGAATGTGGTGACACAACTGCCTGCTTAGAATTCCATGCACAACAAAAATATCTTTCAAAAATGACTGCAAATTGACACTTTAGATGAAAACTGAGATCAGCACCAGTCAGATCCTCATTAAAGGAGATTCTAAATGATACACCTTACGCAGAGGGAAGGCCTACAATGTGAGAAGTGAACAGCAAGGGAAATGTATCAATTCTCTGTAAAAAGAAAGAAGCCTGCATACTTAAGTGTAATGAATGCCAGTGTAGTAAAAACCAAACAAACAAAGAAAAAACCCACAACAATTATGTAAGTATAGGGCAAGTGATGTTAAAGTCCATTCAGTGGACTTCTGTTACCCAGAAGGGTAAAGTTATACACTTTTTTGGTAATTTAAACATGTACATTATATTTCCTAGGGTATCCTCTTAAGAAAACATAAACTGAATATTTACTGTCTAACAAGTAGAGGGCACAGGAGCTTCTGGAGTGCTAGTAATGTTTTATTTTTTGCCCTGAATGATGGTTACAAGAAATTTTGCTTTGTAATTATTTGTTAAATGATAATGTTATATTTCATAATAAAAATAATAAAATTGATTTATGTGGTTTAACTACAGTAACGGATTAAAGGAAATGGTTCATATTATCTCAATATATTTAGAATAAGTGCAGTAAAATTTCAATATCCACTTATGATTTAAAAAACATCATAGCTGGGGAAAAATGGGATTTTACTTAGATATAAAGGTTTTCTTAATATACATAAATAGACACACATTAATAGAGAGATATTACAGGTTTTTTACAGGTAAGATCAGAAATAATATAAGGATGCCCATTGCTATTTCTGGGTGATATTATACTAGAGGTCCCTGCAGCAAATTAAGACATGGAAAAAAAGTAAAAAGAATAAAGTTTTGAAGAGAAGAAACAAAATTGTATTAATTTGATGTCAAATATAGATTAACTATATAGAAACTTCAAAAAATCTAAAAGAAATTATTAGAATTAATAAGCATTTAACAAATTTGCTGAACAAAAATATCAACATATAAAAGTTAAGTGTATTTCTTTATACTGGTAACAAATGTAAACTAAAAATATATAATCTAATAGCAATATACATGGTATTCAAATATATAAAAATATACTATGTATATTCAAATATATAGTATTTAAATATACATATATACAGATTTAAATATATACAGCATTTAAATGTAAATATACACACCAAATATAAAGCTAACAAAAGATGTCAAGCTTTTAAAGGAAAAATTATAAAAATTATGTTTTATTGAAAGAAATTAATGAAAACTTTAAAAAATGGGGAGAGTATGTTTATAGATAGTAAGATTAAATATCCTAAAGATATCAATTCTTCCCTACTTTAATTGTTAAAAATTTGAATAGTTTTTCATGAAACTTGACAAGCTGATCCTAAAATATGGAAGAGGTATAGGGAGGGAGAATGACAGATAATACTGAAGAATAATAAAATGAGAGATTTATAATTAAAACAGACTGGAAATGGCCCAGGGATGGACAAAGGCCAAAGGAACAGAGTACAGCCCAGAGACAAACTCATGCATATATACACACACGAGACACTTCAGATCAGTGGTAAAGGAAGGATTTTTTTTAAAAAATGGTGCTGAGACAAATTATCAATATGTGGGGGGAAAAATAGGTCCCTACCTCACCCTGTGCAAAAATATAAGCTCCAATGGAAAAGAACTTACATGCAAAACTCAAAAATTTTAATCATAGGAAAAAATATAAAACCATTTTTATGACCTCAACATAGGAGAAATCACAAATTACATTCATAAAGCAAAGAACTGATTAATGAAACTCATTAAAATTTAGAACTATGTTAAATTAAGAACCCCCATGACAGTGAAAAGACTAGCCACAGATTAGAATATATTCATCACACCTCTAACAAAGGATAGGTATCTAAACTATATGAAACACTACAGACCACTAAGAAAAACGCAAACACCACTGGAGAAAAAAAAGGCGAAAGACTTGAACAGTCACTTTACAAAAATAATCCACATGTATATATATGTACGGTGTTCAACATTAACACAAGTTAAAATCCACCATACTATCAGATTGCCAAAATATCTGGTTATGCCAAGTGTTGGCAAAACATAACACAATTAGAAATGATTACATTGCTGGTGAGACCATAAGCTAATAAAAAAGCTTTGGAAAACTAGAGTACTCTAATAAAGTTAAACACGTACATGCGCTATGACCCAGCAATTCTACCACTACCGAGAAAACTCTCCCAAATGTGCTACAATAGATGTGTAAGAAACTATTTACTGCAACACTGTTTATAACAGCAAACAACTGGAAACAACCTAAAGTTGGATAAATAAGACATAGTCAGATAATGGAATGCTATACAGGGGTAAAACTGAACAAACTGTAGTTATAAAATTTAACATGGATGAATTACAAAAAAATTTTGAGTGAAGAAAAAACCCAGCAAGTCCTCCCAAAATATATGTACAGTAGCTAAAACTAAGTAGCATTATTTGAGTATATCTTTATATGGAGTAAGAAAAAGAAAACCAAGGGAATGGTATAAATTTTCAGAATGGTAGTTAACTCTGAGGCTGGGGGAGTTAAGGGAAAAGGACGGGGATGGACACATGCAATAGGAGGGGCGCACATTCAAAGATAATCAAGTTCTTGCCTGGATGGTGGGAATAAGGGTATGTGTTTTATCATTGTTGTTGTTATCACTTAAATCATACATATTCATCATTTGTATATGGGGGAGACTAAGGCCAGAAAATGCTGTATATTCCACACAAGCTTAATTAAACTCACTACATAGACAGACAGACAGACACACACACACACACACACACATTGTGTAAGGCACAGGCTATGTAGTAACACTGCCTGGGTTCAAACATCTAGTGCTACCACATACTGCCCAAGTATAGCTAAATTAGAATAAAATTCCTAACCTCTCTCTGTTTCCTCATCTATAAAATAGAAATAATATTTACCTATAAAATGGATAAGAATATTAGTAATACCTGATTATTAACATTGATAAAAAGGGAAAAACAACTATAAGGAAATAACCCTAAGAGTAAACAATATCACTTTGGGTAATAGATTTATGAGTGATAAATTTTCTTTCTTTCCCTATTACTACATTTTCTAAAATGATATTCTTTAGTATATAAAGATAAGTTTTCCAACAAGTGGTGCTAGAACAACTGAATATCCACATGCAAAAGAATGAGGTTGGGTCCCTTCCATTTATCATACACAAAAATTAATCAGAGTGCATCAATGACCTAAATGTAAGAGCTAAAACTATAAAACCCTTGTAAAAGTAAATCTTCGTGACCTCAGAATAGGCACAGTTTCTTAGCTAGGACACCATAAGCACAAGTAACCAAAAAGAAAAAGAGAGGAAACCAACTAAATCAAAATTAAAAACTTTTGTATTTCAAAGGTCACCATGGAGAAGGTGAAAAGGCAACCCATAGAACAGGAGAAAATACTTGCAAATTATGTTCCTCGTAAGGGTCGTATCCAGAATGTATAAAGAACTCTCAAGTGGTTATTTTAGCACAATTTAGATAATGCATATCTGTAAACTATAAAATGCTATATAAATTCCATTCTGACACTACTACAGCTGGATTAGAAGTGTGGGGACTGCAAAGTGGGAATAAGGGATCATTCCTGTTTCAGGTTCCCACAGCTTGTTTCCACATCATTTCTTCTCCTCAGCTTATTGTTGCCTCAGTGCTTGTAACTTTCTCTTTTTTAAATAGTAGTTATTGTAACCTTATTTCTTTTAATGTCAAAAACGGTAAACTGCTAAGCAGGATTCGGGTAATGAAATAGCCAACAGTAAGCAAATGGATGGTCTTTTGGTGCAAGGTTAAATAAATTCTCCCAATTGTACCGACTACAATAATCTGTAGTCAGAGTATAGGACAGAGGGATTATCAAGCAGAATTCTCCAGACATTTAACTCTGTTACCTCTAGGGCGTGTATGGGGATGGAGCACCGCCCCCAACCATTCAGATGGCAAAGAGAGTCCACAGTGCTGGCGCTTCCATGGATCATCAGTCGATTTAAAAACTCCTCTTGGGTCAGACCAAACAAAATCAGACACAGTCCATTTTCTATAAGAAAAACAAAAGTTGACTTTAATAAGTTATTAGGACGTAGGTTTTAGGATTATGACAGGAACTAATCTGCAGGAGTTAGAGTGCATTCAAGAAAGTGACTAAAATGATGTGTCACAGCATCTATGCTGCAAAAGGAGGGACGTGAAGAAAGAAGGGACCCCTCTCTTCACTTGTAAAGTCAAGAAATTGGAAATTCCACTAAGTTTAGATGACAGAAGTGTGGGTACTTGAGTAAGCAAACTGTGGTCAGAGTGGGTTGTGTAGAATAGTGATTCAGGAGAGGAGCAGTTTCATGTAATGACAAAGCCCAGGGTATGACTGTGGGAATAGACTGGGAAGTCGAATTGGAAGGAAAACTCACAATGGTAAACTGAACAAACAAACCACGAGGAACTTGCATGGGGCTTACAGATTCTGCAGGAAACACACACAAAAATTAGAGAAATAATACAAGACTATACAATTAAGTGCTAAACTGTAGTGCAAAGCAGAAGTGCTACACAAGTTCAAAGAGGAGGAAAATAAAGATAAGTATAAATTTACAACTAGAAGAGATTTAATAAGGAAAGGCTTCATGAAAGAGATAGATCTCAAAGGATGAACAGGATTTGATAAAATGAAAAGGGGGTGCTGTCATTCTGTATCCAGGGAAAGAATAACCAGGGTCAGGAGGCAGGAAAGATAAAAACATTTTTATATTTCAGAGCACACTTAGAAAATAAAACATGCAGTCAACTCCAGACAAGTTATACTAATCAACGAGCATTCATTTAAAATAATCAACAAATAGAGATCACTTTATTTAGTTGGACAGGACAGATCCCTAAATTCACTGCCCAGAACAGAACAGAATCTCTTCATTGGCTGATGTTACAGGGGCTCAGTTCAATGAAATTTGTTCAAAGGAATGTGCCTGCTGCTCTCCTCAGAGTTCTCCTGAGGGGTTGCCAAAACAACCAGAGCTATCCTACACTCAAGGATCAGAGTAGCTGAGTAGTCTTTTCTCCCTTCTGACCTGTCAAATTGTTTTCCAAGTAAGATGACTAGGAGGTAACTCTACACATACAGGGTATGCTTTAGTCAGCAAACATGGCCCACTGATACACAAGCACACAATCTGAAAATGTGTTATGTACCCTGCTTAAAAAAAAAAGGTGAAAAGGACATTTAAAACAAAGGAAAAAATTACAGGAATAAGTTCTGGCTCATATGTGAAGATGAAATTAACCGTTTTTTTTTTTGTGATC